CTCTCTCTCTCTCTCTCTCTCTCTCTCTCACACACACACACACACACACACACAAGAGAGAGAGAGAGAGAGAGAGAGAGAGAGAGAGAGAGAGAGAGAGTGAGAGTGAGAAAGAGAGAGAGCTATGTGTCAATTTGAATTTGCAGCTGTCACTTCCATGTGAATCATTTTAACAACCTAGGAAAAGGTTGACTCTTGTGTAGCTGCTTTCTGTTTGCTCTGATGGAAGGTTCCAGCAGGGCTTACGCTAAGAACCAGCCCCCTTGTTTAGCAAGGGACAACCTCCTCAAACAGTGGGTGCTGGATGACTACAATGACAGCCCCTCCTGCAGTTATTCCTCCCTCTTAAGGGACAGGGAAATTCGTGCCTCACAGCCTGTCCTGCACCCTGTAAGCCAGAGTGCAGCCCTCAGGTGTTGGGGGAGGAGGGAATTGTTATCCTGTTGTCAACACGGGATATTTAGTTGTCGCTTCCACAAGTGGAATGGTGAGAGCACCATCTTTTGCTCTGTCCTGGCAAACAAAAACCTTTAACCCAGTTGGAATTGCTCCTAAGCACAGGCTGAGGAAAACACTTGATACGAACAGAGCCATTTTGCTGCCTGAGCTGGAGCAGAAACGGGCGTCCCTTTCACTTGCTCAAATCAAGATATGTTACACTGGAAGTCCCAACAGATTATCCCACAAACACCTCTTCCCCCGCCTGGCAGTAAAAATGCAACAAAATACAGATTACATAACTAACAATCTACTACCCTTTCCTGAAACCAGTAATCTGCCACAAGAAGCGACTTGTTTTGAGATGGTACCAGACAATAAATTTAGTGCAGATTTAGATGCAGTGCTGCCTCAAACGGTGAAAAATATGTATGTTATATCCCCTGCTTTTCTTCACCTCTTTATCATGGATTCCTGGGTGCTCTGTTTTGTGCTGGAAATAAATAGAAGAAAGAGGCAGACTCAGGCAGGCTTCTTTGTGGAAATCCGTTGTCAAAGGAAAATACGTTAATCTCAGGGAGCATGCATTCTCTGTAATGTCAAGTTCGAACCCTTTATCTAACTAATGGTAGAACTAACTCTAAGTGAACATAAACATGAAGTCATTTGAACACTTAAATTCTTAGAGCCAGAATAGGTATGACGAGTGAGGTCTGTGTAATACAGTGGACCCTTGATTTACGGAATTAATCCGTATTGGAACGGTGGCTGCAGGTCAAAAAGTCTGTAGGTCAAGTCTCCATTGACCTACAGTGCATTGAAAACCGATTAATCCCGTAACAGGCTGTTTTTGTTCCATTTTGATTTTTTTTCTGGTCTGTAAGTCAATTCTCAGGCTGCAAGTCAAACCTAAATTTTGCGGCCAAAGTCATTTGAACACTTAAATTCTTAGAGTCAGAATAGGTATGATGAGTGAGGTCTGTGTAATATCTGTTTTTTTGCCCATCCCAGAAGTGAATAGGAGGGTCATATTCAAGTCACAGAAATTGTTAAGAGTTTTATTTACGACCTTACATGCTTTCTGTAGTTTGAGTGTTTGGGGGGTGGGATTCTTCTGGGATAACTGTCTGTCTATCCAACACTAACCAATCGTTCCTTCCAGCCTTTGAATTCAAAAAGAACCCCGCCTCTCTGCTGAGTGTTCTTTCCTTCTCTTTAGTCAGTTAGTGGCAGTTATCTGTTGCTGTCCTTCTGTTTGGTTCGTTGCTACTATGTATGAAGTAAAGCAGTATATAAAAATGTGTAAATTTTTTTAAGCAACAGTAAGTAAAGATTTTTTTTATTCTTTCTCCTAGAAAGGTCTCAGAGTGAGTTGAAACTTGAAATCCCAGTTAATGGGAAAGGGGAGAACTCTGAGGAACGTATACCTACTGTCCTCTGTACCTCTGCTGTATAGCAAAAAAGGAATTTTACCAGAGATTCAAAATTTTGCAACAGAAACAGCAGACGTTAGCTACTGCCACTATCCAAGACCATGCATGATCTAATCCATGCCCACCACTCCTCCTGACTGCCATTTTTCTTTCAGACGGAGCAAAATAATAACAAATTCTCTATGCCACAACAATTTTCAGCAGAAAAATGGGAGCTGTGTTGGGGTAGGGAGTCCATACGTTTCCCTTTCACCGTTCATCACTTGTCATGTGAATTTCTCCTGGAATTACTCAAGAGTGATATAAATGCACAGTAGAAAAACTTTGAAGCCTAGATAAATGTATAAGTCTCAGCCAGCACTTTAAGAAGCAATTGAATTTTCTGGATGCTCTGTAATTAGTGAGAAAGAACAAAAATAGATCTACAGGTTGTGCCTTCGATGAAGAGATAGTATTGCATATTTTGGATAACTGGCCCTTAAACTGAGCTTTTCATAGAATAATGTCATTGGAAGGAGGCTATAATGCATTGGAGCACTTACTATCTCCTGAGGTAATTGGTTCCATTGCCTTACTGCTCTAACAGTTAGGAAGCGTTTCCTGATATTCAGCCGAAATCTGGTTTCCTATAACTAGAGCTCATTAGTTTCAGGTGGTGTTTAAGGTTATCTGTTGGATTTGCTCATGAAAATGAGGGATTCTACAAAGCTCATTTGCTAAAATGGAGCTCCTAAGTCCAAACTCAGGAAAATTGTATTTTTGGACTACAGCTTCCAGACTTCATAAGGAGAGCATAGTTACCTTCCATGCTAGTTAGGAGATTCTGGCAGTACTAGTCCAAAAATATATTTTTTAAAAGTTCTATGTCACATTCCTTTGAGATTATTTTTCACACACAAAAACACTCTGTAGTCCTCCCATTCTAAGGGCATTGGTCTGCAGCGAAATGAACCCACATGACCTTTCAAAAGTCTAAATATAGAAGTTTAAAAATCAGATGAAATGACAGAGAGTCAGGTCATCAAGGCCTTTAAAATCAGAAAACTCATTTTCACTACAGGAGATAAGCAAAGGTCTTATTCCACATAGAAGATAGAGGTTGTTACATAGAATCTCCCGTCTTCACCAAAGGCAGGTGTGTTTGTGTGTTTCATCCAGATTATGCCCCTCCTGACATTTATGCTTATCTTCTTTGCATTGTGATCAATGGGTCAGTTCTGCTGCCATCTTTATTTACTTTCTGCTTCTCAGCCCATGAGGCCCTACAAAGCAACATATAACCACTGTAAAATATGGGAAAAATACGTTCCTTAAAAACAAATAAAACAATTTCAAAACCAGATTTGAAAGCTGGCTTTGTTTTAAAAACAATAATGGAGGGAAGCATGCCAGGGTTGGAATAGAACAGAAGCACTTTCCATACATAAATGCCTATAAATTATGTATAGCTTCAGCAGATCTTGTATGTCTCTTAAAATCAAGGCCTAAAATCAAGATTGTGTGTCAATGCAGAGAATACGTTTATCACAGGTCTTGCAGGGGTGCTCTCCCAAATGCTAAAAGAAAGCTCTTTGTCACGGCACACCTTTTGTGATTGATCACTTGAAGGCAAACCTGATGGGCAGAATGGATGAATCACTGGGGATATGCAGTCCTCAACATCTTTTGTGATCCTAAATGTATCCTGTTGGAGCACAAATAGGTGGGTGTGGTAATACAGCACCACCACAAAAACATTTCAGTTGATTAAAAACTTGTGCACCTCAGGTGACTGAAAATGTATACAAAGCAGGAAAGGGAAAACCAGCTTGGTTGGCAGCATTCCACAGCAAGCGAATGGGTACTGACAAACTTGCCAAGATCCCCTTTGCATTTAGGCCCCAGGATGTAAACTGATCACCAATAAGGAAATCTTCCTTCCTCAAGAACAAAATTGCACAACCTGCCCGTAGGAACAGCATAGCAGTGAACCTTACCATATGAAAGGTGTGTGTGTCTCTCTTCCACCACCCCCTTTCCCAGCACTCAAGAATACGACATTCCAAAAAGTAGATCTTAAACCAGAGTTGGAAAGAGGCAAAAAAGATCTGTGTTCATGGATTTGGAGTGCAAGATGGTGACTCCCAAATTTCTATACAGAAGAGTCCTTAGCAGGAGGCAAATGAAAACTCCTCAGTCCCTACACATGGCACAATATCCATCATTTATTCCTTAGGAAAACTATTAACTTGTGAATTATGATGGTCCATTTAAAAATCCATCAGGTTTCCCTTCTTGGGCCACAACAAAGAATCCTGAAATTGTTTCTCAGGTCACTCTCGAAAGTATTGCTTTGCTGACAGCTCACAGTAGCCTTTCTCAACAAAAACGTCTTGGCAGTGTTTTATTTATCTCATCCTTTTTGCACCCCAACTTCTAGATGTCGAAGCCTCATTGTGATCAATAAGAAAAATTAGTAACTCTGTCCTGCTATAGTTCTCTTGAATAGGATTTCTCTCTCCATGTTTTCTAATCCTTCTTCCCTTTACGTTACCTCATGTTTCTACTGGAGGTGGTAATCTCAAAGCGGAAGGGGACTTCAGGCTCTCTAGATGTTTTGGACTCTGACATTTCTTATTGTAAAAAACATGTTTTAGTTAGATTGTTGGCTTTTATTACACATTCTCACATATTTACCAGTATATTTTGCTAGTATAATACTCCATTATTGCTATTTTATTGTGTTTCTGTAGGACACTACAGAGAGGTTGTTTGTTTGTTTAATGCTGTGGATGCTGTTAATCTCCAAATAGTTTAAGGTTTCAGTGACTAGAATCTTGTAGGCTAGTGTGGTAAGTTGCAACTAGAGCATGCCCATTGAACCACTGGGAATTTGGTGAGGCAACTCCTCTGCAAGTTCCACTGATTCTGTGGACCTACTCTGTTTGTGACTTACTACGCTGAGCAACAGCATTTCAGCCATTATGTCTTAATCCAACGGTGATCTCATTTCTTTGTGTTTGCAGATAGTTCTGGCAGTGATGAATTTAAAACTCTGGGAGTTCTTCTGCTTGTAAGACCAGAAGACCAAGGAAAAAGAAAGCCATGGTTGAAACAGTCCTGGCACCGTGGACAATTGTCCTGGTAATTTTTGCTACAGTGCTCTTAATGAGCTTCCTCATGTTTCTCCCCCCTACTGTTGTGTTGATCTGGAGAATGAAGACAATATCAGAGATCTCTCTGGATGGAGTTGTGTAGCCGACCTCACTGCAGAGATTCCAGTGCCAATGTCAAAGCTCTTGGCTCATCTGAAATATGGGCAACAATGGATGCAGAATTCAAGAGGTTGGATATAAAGCACTTGATGCCTGGTATCTGTCTGTTTCATTTTTTTTCTCTTTTATGAAAATAATTGCATGAAGAGAAGCAAGTCAAGGACAAGCAAGTGGAAAGACAACAAACATGTTTCCTTCTAACTCACTTTGGATCACAATTCGGTACCATCTCACTTACCTGGCAATAAACCCAATTGAATTCAGTAGGACTCACTTCTGAGTAGACCTGTATACAACTGAACTGTCTCAACGTCTTGTTGCTTTATGTACCTCACTCACATGCAGTATTAGAAAAGCAGAAACAAAAGTAATTGCAACATGCCAGACAGAATGTGTGTGTGATATAAAACTTGCACTAAATACCAGCTTGTGGCCATTATACTGAAACTGAAGCAAATATTGATGTTGTACAAATAAAAAAAATTAAATATAACCTCCATATTTGTAAGCTACATGAAGGTCCTTAAACAATACTCTATCTTTGCTTTCTTAATTATTTATTCAGTATTTTCCAGTTTTTCCTTAAATTAATTTTATAACACTCAACCCCAGTTCTTTACAATGCCTGATATAAAATGGTTGTGATTTTACCCCTTTGGTTAAAAAAAGCCAGATGTTTTCAGACTTTTAAATTGCATTTGGGAAATAAGTTAATTGAAATTTCATGGTTTATAGACCATATGAGTTCACTTCACAACACTGAAGAAAGGGCTTTAGTTTTAATTTTTCAAGAAGTATTATCTACTAAATAGCACTAATAAGCAACATTTTTTTAAAAAGGGGGGGTGCTATATTCTGAAATGGACAAGGTCTTTCTCTGCCACCATCATTGTCTTTGCTCATTGACTCATTCCCAAAGAGGTTTTGACCAATATGTCTCTAAAAATGAATAAAAGCAGAACAGAGTTGAATCACTGAATCAATTTAATTTGCATAATTGCTGTCTTAAGTCCAATTCATTCAGTATGTCTACTCTAGTTGGGATTAATAATTGGATTTTATCCCACAACCGTTAGGGCCTACTAAAGTATAGTGTGTTATATCATTAAGTGAAGAGCAGCAGTCACTTGAACTAGCACATTGTAGGTGTCATGAAAATATAACAATTATTATTTAATTGTATTATTATATTTGCACTGTGAGGGATGAAGGGAGGCATTTGTGAGAGTTTTTACCTCAGGTCATGCAATAACTTGGTCAGCTTTGACCACCGTGTGAATTTTTGGGGGGTAAGTACCGGATGTTATTTGCTGCTCTACCCAGGCAGTAAACTATCTTGTAGCACAGATTTTCATATTGCTATTAGGTCAGGTTTGCAAAGAAATTGCAACTGAACTGTATTTTTAAAAGCATAAAAATCTGGTCATGTGAAACAAATGGAAACCTTATTAACCAAAACCCATCACTTTGTTTTCTGTTCACTAGAGGCCTCCAGCTCAAATAGCTGACATTGATGGTATCAGTAAGAAGCATAGAAACTGAGCAAGGGCAAAAAGGAACATTAAAAAAAATACTAGATATGGTGGCCAGCAACAGCCTCAGGAGAGATAAGCTTCATGGTGGCTATAGGGTTCCATCTCAGCCACGACCATTCTATCATTAGAATGAGACAGTGACCTCAGGCAATGGATTTTTGGTGTCACAAAAGGAAGCAAATTGCTGCTTCCTCTTACTTATGCCCACCAACAGAACATGGCTTCTAGTGGCAAATTGCTGGCAGTTAAGACTTGTTTTTGTTCTCAGCTAACACTGACTTCTTAACAGGAAACACTTCACTGCGGCAATTTATGCTACCATACTGAGGTTTTGGAATAAGATTCTGGCCATTACTTGGTATTTGTATTTTGACTGTCACTGGGAAGAGGTGTTAGTGAATTTCCTGCCTTTCCTCCCTCACTTAGATCCAGGCAACTCCTCCCATGGGGCTTTTTCAAATCAGGAGATAAATTAAGAAGTCAGGAACTAGGGACAGAAGAAGAAGAAGAAAAAGAAGAAGATTATGAGTTGGGGATTGGTGGCCTTGCTCTTGCTTGACTCTGTTCCTTTTGGAGGACTGTTCCCAGAGAGTTCAGCTTGGGGAGAATGTATCGGCCCTGTGGTCCCTCAGTTGTGGGGTTCTGCAGGGTTCAATCATCTCCCCAATGCTGTGTAACATATATATGAGTCTGTTAGGAGGGGGTCATCCAGGGATGTGGAGCTTCGTGTCACCAATATGTTGATGACACTCAGCTCTACATCTCCTTTTTCCATCTGCTTTTCTGTCCCTTGGGCACTGCCTGGAGGCCGTTCTGCTATGGATGCAGTTAAATCAACTAAGGTTGAACCCGGACAAGACGGAGGTCCTGCAGGTGGGTGGCCCCGATGTCAGTGGTTTGGGGAACTCTCTCCCTTTTGGGGTGGTGACTCTCACCACAAAAAATTCAGTTCGCTGTTTGGGGGTCCATCTTGACCCAGCGCTTACCATGCAGACCCAGGTAGCATCCGTGGTTTGGTCTGGTCATTTACATATTCGGAGGGTCGCCCTGTTGCGTCCCTATCTAGACGTGGGGGCGCTCACCATGCTGGTTCATGTGCTCATAGTCTCAAGAATAGACTACTGTAATGCTCTCTACATGGGGCTTCCTTTGAGACTGATGCGGAAGCTTCAGATGGTCCAGAACACGGCAGCCAGACTATTAACAGGGGTGAAAAGATTTCACCATATTTCACCAAGATTTCAACCTTGGCTGCCTTACACTGGCTACCTATCTGCTTCTGCATCGATTTCAAGGTGCTAAATATTACATACAAAGCCCTTAACAGTTTAGGCCCTTGATACCTGCAGAGCACCTTCTTCCACCCAGTTCTACCCTTATCACCTGCTCCAGTCAGGGCAGGTGGATGAGGGGCCCAATGCCAAGAGAGGCCTGGTGGGGAAAAACTAGAAATCAGGCCTTCTCGGTAGTGGCCCCTCGCCTATGAAACAACTTACCTGTAGATATCTGCCCGGCTCCTTCGCTGAGGACCATCAAGACTAGCTTGAAGACAAGAAGGTTACTTACCTGTAACCATAGTTCTTCTAGTGGTTCTCTGTGAATTCACACAAATGCATTGTTCTGTGCCTGCGCTGAACGTCTTGGAAGATTCTAGAGCTAAAAGTAACAATTTAGTGGGACGTTCCCCCATGGAGCACATGCTCCGCCGACCCAAGATTCCCCTCAGTTCCTAAAATTTGTCCGCCGGGCAGAAGAGTCATTTAATATAACCCATGACGGATGGAGGGGAGAATGGGTGGGATGTGTGAATTCACAGAGGATCACTAGAAGAACTATGGTTACAGGTAAGTAACATTTTCTTCTTTGTGGCCTCTGTGAATGGGTGACTAGCAAGCTTCACTTACTGGATGGTGAGACGTCACAGTGAGAAGTATGCCAATACAGCTCTGTCAAATCCAGCATCATTGTGTGCTCTCACATCTAGAAGGTAGTGCTTGGCAAAGGTCGATAGGGTAGACCATGTTGCAGCACGACAGATGTTAGGAATCTCGATTCCATGCTGGAAGGCAGTAGATGTTGACAGCGCTCTAGTGGAATGTGCATTCAGTTGATTAGGAGGTGATTTGCCTGATAGTCCATATGCCAGAGATATGGTCTGGATGATCCATCTGAAAATGGATTGCGATGAGGTGGGACCTCCCTTATGGGGTCCATGGAAACATATGAAAAGCCTGTTAGTTTTTCTGAAAGTCTTAGCTCTGTCCACATAAAATGTCAGAGGGTGACTGACATCAAGCATATGGAGCATGAGCTCTAAAGGAGATGATGGTGATTGAAAAAATGATGGTAATACAATTGGTTGGTTAAGCTGAAATTCTGACACAATCTTGGGCAGGAAAAAGACATCAGAATATAAAGTCACCTTGTTTGGATTAAATTGAATAAAGGGTAGGTTAGAGCAAAGAACAGCAAGCTCACTGGCTCTCTTGGCAGATGTTATAGCCACCAGGAAGGATACCTTCAGAGAAAGCAATTTGAGATTTGAAGAAGCCATTGGCTCAAAAGGTGGGCACATAAGAGCATTTAAAACAATTTACAGTGACCATTGGGGAATAATATGTTGGCGTAGTGGGTGAATGTTCTAGAGCTCCTTAAGAAACTTCTCAACTGTGGGGTGAGATAACAGTTTTGCTGAGCTAGAATTATCTGGTTGGTGGGCGACTGTGGCTGATATATAAATCTTTAAAGTGGAATGAGAGAGTTCAAATTTGAAAAGATGTAGTAAGAAGGTAAGTAACGTCTTCAAGGAAAGAGGTATAGCAGGTAAGTTATTTGTTTCTGTGTATTTAAGGAAGGCTTAGACAATGTGCCCCCCAGCCAGACGGGCTGGTGTCGGTAGTGATCTGCACCATCGGTTGGAAGATCTTGAATGGACGTCCGGCACAGAGGTTCGGCATCGATGTACTGTAAATTTCATAGATGTGTGATCTGTCACCAGGTTGAACAGCGAAAGGTACCACAATTGAAGTGACGTTAGTTTGAGCTGGGCGTGTTGCATCACTGATGTCATGGATGCCATGAGCCTGAGGAGATGTTGGACATGATGGGCTGAAACAGAAGCTTGAGGGTCAAAGGGATTGCTTTCTTTAGCTTTATAATTTGTTCTAGTGGGATGAACACCCTGGCTTGTACGGAGTCGAAGAGGTCTCTGATGTGGGTGATTGTTTGTGAAGGTTGGAGCTGAGACTTTGTTTGGTTTACTTTGAGACCAAGGTTTTGAAGCGTGTCGAGCATGATGGTTGTAGCTCTCATGGCATCTTGATACAATGTCCTGACTATCAGCCAGTCGTCTATATATGTTCGATTACAACAAACCAGCCCCCTGTGAAAGTAGAGGTATAATAATGTCGAGGGTCAACATTCTAAATTTTTGGGGTCAAATAAATTTGTTAAGGTCCCTGAAGTCAAGAATCTGACAGAGGCCTCCATCCTTCTTAGGTACTGTAAAATATTTCGAATAGAAAGCATTGTACAAATTAGATGATGGCACTTGAATTATAGCATGTTTTTGAAGAAAGGTTGATACCTCTTCTTGAAGTGCTATGGAATATGGAGTAATATTGATAGTCCTCAAAGGTGGGAGGGAGTTGAATTCTATGAGATAACCATAATTGATAATAAAAACAACCCATTGATCATCAGCAATATTTCGCCAAAAACCAAGAAAAGGTTTTAATCTTGCTTGAAATTGATTATGAGTACAGCTTAGTAGAACAGGAGATTTACGGATATTCTTGATATGTCTTACCCTTTTTCTGGGGTCTGCGAAAAGGTTAGCATCGTTGTGACTGATTCTGATTCCAAAAATTTGATGTTGATGGGTGTTGGTA